TCAAAATGCTGATTCAACCAACTTTTATGTGCAGGGCCAGATGAATGATGCTTCTGAAGTGCTGGGTGTGATATTTGATTGCCTGCACCAATCATTTACATCAGTTTTGGGTGCTTGTGATTCGGAATCAGCAGACAGTAGCAGCTGTTTGGATTCATGGGATTGCACAAACCGTGCTTGTATTGTACATTCTCTTTTTGGAATGGATGTTTTTGAACGGATGAACTGCTACCAATGTGGATTAGAGTCTAGACATCTGAAATATACCTCTTTCTTTCACAATATTAATGCAAGTGCTCTCCGGACAATGAAGGCATGTTATTTGGATGTAATAATTGCAAAAGCTGTTCTAGGACCAACGAGTAGTTCACTGCTTTGTATGGGTCTACTTCACAAAACTACATCCGTTTCCTTTTCAGGTTATGTGCCAAGATAACTCCTTTGATGAGCTGCTGAATCTTGTCGAGATGAACCACCAGTTGGCATGTGATCCAGATGCTGGTGGATGTGGGAAACATAACCACATCCACCATTTCCTCTCCACTCCTCCACATGTTTTCACCACAGGTACTCTCATCTGTTTACCAAAAAATTTAGAGACCCATATGACTCCCTTATAGAGGCATATGAGGTATTGTGGCACCATCTTCACTACCCATTTTTTTAAAGGGGAGCCCACTAAAAAATGGGTAGCGATCATGGTGCCACAATACCCCATATGACTCCATATGGGTCTCCATAAATCTACTATATGTTTACCCTGTCTGGTGCTTTCAAGAGTTGCAGCACTGAGAAGACATCTGAGTAAAATTTCTTCTAACAGGGAAGAAAAGTGAAGGCCAAAAGTGGTTTGCTTATTGTGATATTTGATTTTAATGTTGGTCTCTTTCTTGCAGTTTTGGGCTGGCAGAATACTTGTGAGAGTGTTGAAGACATAAAGGGTACATTAGCAGCCTTATCTACTGAGATAGATATCAGTGTTCTCTATCGCGGTCTTGATCCAAAAATCAAACATTGCCTTGTTTCAGTGGTAAACCTCCTTATAGTAATAATATAGTTGATCATTTTATGCTGGTGTGAACCCATTTTCTTATTAGCGACTGCTGTCTCTTCTGATTCTGAAAAAATTGCTTTCTGTTACTGGTCAAATGAAGATATTATAATCCTACATTAAATGTGATAATAGTTTTTTAAATAGCTTTGAATCATTTTTTAAAAAGGGGTAGGGATCTAATCGGTGGTCGCTCTTCTCTCTCATTAGGTCTGCTACTATGGACAGCATTATCACTGTTTTGCATACAGTCATAGTCATGAACAATGGATCATGTACGATGACCAGACTGTGAAGGTAAAATAATAATAATAATAATAATGACGATGATGATGATACTGATATTAATAATAAGTAACTAATAAATAATAATGGTTGCCTGTTCCGGTAGGTCATTGGCAGCTGGGTTGATGTTGTCACCATGTGTGAAAGAGGGCATTTGCAACCGCAACTCCTATTCTTCGAAGCTGTGTAATAACTAAGTTCTGAAATGATTGTACAATCTCCAGCCGGTACTATATATAGATATATATATATATATATATATATATATATATATATATATAATAACCGCTTTCAAAAGCTGAAAGATCATTAGGAAGAGAAGCTGAATGAGTTCCTAGCCTGATGAGTATATACGTTTCCAAGTGCAAATTCAAGATAGGAGGGAGAATCACGGGACATGGAAAAGATCAAGTCACGATGTTTTTTTAGCCTTCTAGTCCATTGAACAAGTTTCACAATCATCACCAATTTTGTCTTTTCCCCTTTTTGTAGTCCCATTGATCCGTCCAATAATGTGGCGGTTTCTATGAGGATGAATTACTATTAGCCACCATTTTCTGAGCCTATCACGGAGGAGTTTGTGGACTCTCGCTGATGGCAACAACTTTAACATAGTTATATCTATCTATTTATCTATCTGTAGACAGGGGGCGGGCATGCAAGGTAAATTGATCATTTTTTTCACATTGAAAAGAAAGCTTTGTATAGAGAGAACTAATGCCGATAGCCTTCTTTGTTAGCAATGCACAGCCTGTCCATTTTGACTTCTGTCTATGAACTTCTTTGAATTGAGTAGAGGTGCCCAATAATTTGTACGTTTGGTAATAGAACGCAGAAACTCTCAACCTTATTTCTTATTGCTTGCTTTGTGACAGCCACACAGGCAAGCTGCATAGTAATATAGTATTTACTAGAATTTTACCATGTGTTGCCTGAGATGCCATTGCCTTATTGATTTTTCTTCTTCTTTCAATATGTATCAACTGCAACATTCAAGTTCAGCCATTGGTCATGATGAACGTATATAGGAGCATTAAATTATTGTCTGACTCTTTGCAAACATCGTTTGATGTGGTATTCTATATTGAGAAAAGGGTCAAATAAGGCCTTCTACTATTACGAAATCGTCACAGAAGGTCATGCATTCAATAAAGTATCATATAAATACGTCTACTTATAAAAAAACAATTGGATGAGTCCTAATGACCCGTTGACAACCTCTTAGGCCATGCACTCAATATTAGCTTAAATCGGACGTGTCAATTTATTTGACTTGTATTTTGACTAATCTTAGGTAAATATTCGACGTGTGTCGTATAATCTATTATAAAAAGATGGTTTCAAGAACACTAGGAGGTTGTAAACAGGTCGTTAGGACTTATTTGATTGTTTTTTTACAACTAGATGCATTTATATGACATTTTATTGAGTACATGGCCTTATGTGACGATTTCATAATAGTAGGCCTTATTTGACCATTTTCTCTTCTATATTCGTTGGAATCTTTACTCTGGATACAATTGGCCATGGGTAAGGTGAAACTGGAACTAGTAGGGGTGGACTCGGGCCGCCCGGCCCGGCCTGGTACCCGGTCTTGGGACCGGTTCGGGCCAACCGGAACCGCCCAACTCCCGGTTCGGGCTCGGGCCTTGAAAATCTTGAACCAGCCCGGCCGGTTCGGGCCTTTTTTTTCCATTTTTTTTAGTTTCTACCGGGTAGGGCTGGGTGTTTGGGGGGGGGGGGGGGGTTGGGGGGTGAAGGGGGTAATTTAGAAAAACAAAAGAAAAATAAAAAAAAACATTGAACCGGAAACCGGCCCGGCTTGGAACCGCCGGTCACCTGGGCCGGTTCTGGTTCCCTACTTCCCAAACAAAAGCCCGGGTGAGCCCAGGCCCGAACCGGAACCGGCCTGGCCCGGGTCCATCCATAACTGGAAGATGCAAAGAGCACTAATCTTTCCCATGATTGTCTCTAACTCTTATTGATACCAATGGAATTGTATATGTTGAAGTGAATGAGAGCCCCACTTCTCATGGATTGGGATGAATCTCAAAATGAGATCCTTCCAGTTTTTATCTATACATTAAATACTCCGTATGTAAATATGTAATAATGTTGTCAATATGGACATCTTGCCCTCTCATGAACATCACCTGCTTAACAAATGATTCATAGCAATATTAATCTAGCACTTGTTGCATCTTAACATTTATGCGAAAGACTTCACCAACTGTCATGGGTACATTTTAATGCATCAACATTCTAAATCGTGAAGACTCGAGCATAACTACATGTTTCAGACATCCATTTTTTAACTTACAAAGAAATCTGCAGAAGATAAATATTACTCCATATTATGTTTTCAGAGGCTGGAACGATTTACATAAATTACTTTCTTGTTTATTTCTTCCAGTTTTATCATAATCGGGGAGGTGGCCGGAGTTTGACGACTCCGGCTTGGCAGTGGTGCTTGCGGTTGATGGTGGTGCTGGGTTCCGGTTTGGTGGACAGTTTTACAGTTATTTCTGGTTTTGACTTTACTAATGTGCTAGAGGACAACTGGACTGGATAATTGCCAGATCACCAGTTCCGGGCTGACCTACCAGGTCCGAGTCTGATTCTTATAACATAGTTATACACTTCACTCCACCAATATTTATAACTGAAAGATTTTGTTTTAATTTGGTATCACACTATCACCGATGCACTAATGTCCATTTTAAAACACTTGTGAATGTACGTTGTTTGTTCTCATTATATAGTGTAATGCTAAGTTATAGTACCATTAACTATCGTATTATACTATTATAGGCTAATGAAACAAAATTTATACTCCGTATTAGTTTTTAAAAAATACAGTATTTAAGTACTCAAATTAATGGAGTATATTGCTAAAAAAATTAAGGGAATCATATATGACTCGACATATGACCTTATAAAGTACTTCCTCCGTCCCGTTAAGATTGTTCCATCATTCCTTTTCGGTCCGTCCCAATAAGATTGTCTCATATCGAATTTGGTAAATTTGTGTGGTTCTAAATCAATTTAATTTTGTTCTTACTTTATGAATTCAATATCAACAAAATTTCAAATAACTGTGTCACCTTTTCTTGTCCCAATGTTAATGGAATGAAAGTAATATGTGGCATTATTATAAAGTACTCATTTATAAGGTGAACTCACTATGAATGAATGGTCGGTCATAGTGAGGCCAAACGCCCACACATGAGTGACATGACATATGACTCCATGATGAAGTCATATATGACTCTAAATTTCCCGTATATTGCAACATACCCTTAGGCTTAAAGGATTAGAGACAAACCAAAGAGAATGAGGCTGCAAGTCAAGCCCAAGCATTGAAGGCCAAGGGCACCTATTGAAAGCCAATGGTACCGTGTGTCACTGTTAGCCTCCGCTTGACACCATACTTAACTGAAATCAGCAATCCAATAAGAGTAAACATGACTGATTTCACTCCGCTGCATGCGTTGACGCTGTCACAGTCAGCATCGTGCTGGCATCATCACACACAGATTATCAACGAGCACATGTACTTGGTCTTTTACTACCTCTATCCCGGTAAACTTTGTCCAAGTTTGGATTGGACAAAGTTTTGGGGACAACTAAAAAAAAGTTGGCAAAGTCCATTGTGACAAAGAGAGTATATAACAGAAATATACAAATTAAAGGAGTTCGGATAGAGATCTTATATAGGTTCTGATAAAAAGAGTCTGAACAAAGATCTAAAATTGATTCATTGAGTTTGAACTTTGAAGGACTTCCCGTAATTTAAAAGAAAAATCCCCAAGCTTCGCCATTTTCATTCCTTGCATTCTAAGGATCAAAACAGAACCTAGAGTATGAGCTGCAACACCAATGGGATAAAAAGCGGCACAAGCAAACGTACATCAAACCACTAATCCATAAAGAGATGCATGCAGTTCATGTTACAAAATGATCGGTTCCAAATTTCAATAAAAACCCTGATCTGACTGGTATCACACCTCATATTACGGACTATGAAGAACATAATAAATAGCTATAGCAAATGCATGCGCTCGACGTAAGGTTGGACCAACCAATTACCAAGGGGCTGTCCACACCCCACGAAACAGCCAGAGTTACCATTACCAGGCAGAAATGGAAAATTAAGCAAGCTGAGCAAATCTTGTACCGTTTGTCTCACAAGAGAAGTACCTGTCACCCTGCTCCTCCGGCCCCACCCAGTCACTATATCAATCCGGTTTGGACAGACTCCAGAGGAAAGCATATGTCTGCGAAACAAGGCCAGTGTCCTTGAAAGAGCCGTCACAGCAGTCCCATCTGACATCACATGAAGATTTATCAGCCAGTAAAGGGCACCTTTCTCTCGTACGGCATCAGGGTATATGTTCTTCACTGCTGCCGCCTCCCAGACAGAGGCGGCTTCCTCTTTGAGCCCAGATTTGTGAAGGAAATCAATAACTGAATCCACGAGTCCCCTCTTGCTGTCCCTATCTTCGCTGTGCATCAAATCCAAGAACCGGGTAACGTGGTCCCTCACATTCCGCCCGTCTGCTCCAGCGGACGGCATTGTCACTAAGAATTTGTGGGCCGGGTGACCTGTGATTCCCATCAGCTCGTAACAGAATCCCATGTCGAGTGATGCATGCGCTTCATCCGTACAACAGCTGAGTAGCAAGGTGTAGGTTTGTAAAGATGGAGCGAGACCCAAACCTAGCATGGTCTGGAGCAAGTAATATGCATCGGATAATCGGTGGACCCGAAGGAAAGCGCTAAGGAGGGAGTTGCAAGTGGGCACGTTTGGGCATAGACCAGAATCAAGCATGGCTTGATACCACTCCATTGCCTTTTCAAGATTCCCAGCCTTTCCCCACAGGTCCACCATGATGCCGTAGTTATACTCATCCGGGACCCAGTTTTTTCTCTTCATCTCAGAAAATACTGCTTCCACTTCTTCTAGGTGCCCAAAATGCCCGAGAACCTCCATTACTGTGCTGTAGGTCACCTTGTCCGGCTCAAACCCGGCATTCTGCATGTCCCGGTAAATGTTTAGAGCAGTCGTATAGTTCCTTGCCTTGGCATGCAAAGCAATCATGACATTATATGTTACCAGGTTTGGCATGCACCCATGGTTGACCATTTCGCAGAAAAGCTTATGAGCATCCGCCAGGTGGCCTGCTTTGCCCAGGCAGTTAATGATGACGCTGTAAGTGAATGTGTCTGGTGAAAGGCCGACCGTTTGCATTCTTTGGTACAAGTCCATGGCAACACCGAGATATCCTGCCTTTGCGTGAATGTCAATGAGTGTACAGTAAGTGACCCGGTCCGGCTCACACCCAGCTTTCTGCATTTGGTCAAAGACAGCCAATGCTTCGCCCAAGTAGTTTGCCCGCCCATACCCGTGAATGATCCGGTTATACGTCACCACATTCGGTTGACATCCGTCATTGACCATCTGCTGGAGCAACTTGTTTATAGCCCCAAACTGCCTGGCACGTCCAAGGATGCCAACCATAGTGGTATAGGTATGCCCATCGTGTTTAAACCCGTGCTGTTGGGTCAGCCAGTGGAAAAATTCAAGGGCTACTGAATGATCTTGGAGCTTCTTAAGAATTTGGTTCGCTTGATAGACATTTAATGAACAATCAAGTTTCCGAAGAAACTCTTCTGTCTCTGAGCCCCAATTCATGTGTTGCAAGATGTGAGAAACTGTTTCCACAAGATTCCCAGAACCCGGAAACTTCCGTGCGGTGGGAAAAACTCCGGTATGAGCTCCTCTGGTCTTTCTTAGAGGAGGCGCGGTCAAACCTTCTGCCTCATCATCCTTATGCTTCTTGTCTTTCATGTGGCCGTTCGGACAGGGTCTTGACTCCTGAGCTCCTGTCCTCTTTATGTAGTGGGAATTAGCAGGAACATTTACTGTTAATGAGCTGGTTGACTTATGACCTTCAACTTCAGCTGACTGAACAAAATTTCTCAAACCTTCACCACAAAGAGAAGGAACAACTTTGACAGGACCATGTTTTCCACCTCTGTTACTCTTGATACCCTCTCCTTCTCCTCGTCTAGAAGTAATTACAGACTTTGATGCTGAAGGCTCAACTGAAGATTTTCCTTGCTCTCTTGTAAATGTTTTTGTGGCTGCTGGTTTAACACTACAAGCAGGTTTTGTATGCTCAACCACATAGGAGGTAAGGGAAGAGTCCAGTAATCCATTTCCATCTTTTATTGGAATTTTATAATTTACTAAATCTGATAAAAAATTGACTGCTGCAATACCCACCCTAACAAATTGATCGGATTTAGGAGACAGTGAATATGTGATGTCTGATTCTTCCAAGCTTCCACCATAACAGACACGATCTGCTCCCACCACCGTTGGATTAGTGGCAGGAGGTATAACCTGTGGCCGAGAAACTTTCTGGTCTAGATTGTTATTTTTGTTGGTGGCGTCCTCCACATGTCTTGAAAGTATCAAGGTTGAAGGTGTTTGTGGATGCGCAGGGACATTCCTTGTTTGTGGTCTTTTGGAGATGCAGGTCTCATCCTCGGCACAAGTACATGAACTATCTGCTGCATTGCATCGGGACCCACCAAAGATGATGGACCTAGCAGAGTGGGAGAGGGTACCAAGCTGCTTTGCGCGTAACATGGTCTGCAATTGAGAAAAATCAATGGCGGGACTCTATTTATTATATCTATTAGATTCAAACTGAACAATAATAGCAGACTTACAGAAGGAAATGATTTGGAAACACAAACATGAAGCAAATGTTTTAACTTTTAACCAACTTCATAGTCAGTTAAGAGAAAAATATTTAAGCATATAAGAAGTGCATCATTCCATCATTTGCAATGGAGCCAAAGATTCATTGTTTTTTGGCTTGAGAATATGATGGAATAAAGCAAAATGGCTCACTAAACTGTCTGCGCTTCTTTGTTATGAAGCAGCAGTCAGTCCATTCAATTTTGGACGCGATTTTCACTACGGGTCATCCGGAAACAATCTCTCTGTGCCTTAGTACAGGGGTAAGACTGCGTACATCCGACCCTCCCTGTTAAGATCAGAAGCACTCTATCACTCCCCCCCTACCCCACCGTAGGTGGGAGCCTTTGCGGCACTGGGGTAAATGAAAATGAAAATGATTATAAGAAGTGCATCAAACAGCAAATGCAGTAGATATTAACACTAGAGATGGGCATTACTTTTTGTTTTAGGATCAATTTAAAACAGGTTTGGCTGTTCGGGAATGATTACCAAATTAAAATCAGACTATGTTTGGTTTGATTATGTTTGGTTCAATGTACTTGTACTTCTGTTTGGATTTTTCAAAATGTATACCAAGGTTTATTCTATTTCTTCATTCAATTTTGGTTCTTATTAATACACTTTGCAAGAAAAAACATTACCAAAGTAAAATGGAATTGGATAATGGATATAGTTTGATATCAGTTTGGATGATTCCGGTTTGGTTCAGTTCAGTCAAACCAAAACAAAAACCCTGCCCTTATTAATACATTCAATGTTGAAGACAATTTGGAAGCTTTTTCTGTAACTTATAGAAACTGCGTCATCAGACATTGTTGGGCATTATTATCCAGCTAAAGAACAATATTTTTCATACAAAAACAGGATAATTCATTGAAAAATGGAATAAATAGGCTACTCACAGTAACAGGAAACCAATGTCATTAGCCAACTAAATCACGGATTCAAGTCTGTAACACCAAATATTTTCATATATATTCCATGAAGAAAAACAACAGAACTTCAGCACATTTCTTATTCTGACAGGGGGCAAGAGTGATTAGCAATTTGTTAGCACATCCATCACCTAGCAAGGGTGTTACAATTTCAAAATAGAAGATGTAAGTTTTCTTTTTCATCAAGTTATTGGGATGTTACAAGCAGGAGCCATCATAGTCCCATTTCCCATACAACCACTCATTTTCATATATTATAATATACTTGTGTAAAATTTTAAACTTCACACAGTTTGATTCAATACATGAAGCTTACGAGATCAAATAAAGAAGAACAAACACAGGCTTTACACTTTACCGAATAAAAAGAATAATCGAAGAAGTGTTACAAAATGTAAGAAGATTACCAAATAACGCATACACACGTTACAGAGCATTCTAAAGAAAGGCAAGAAAAGGTGTATCATAAATTCGTGAAAAAATACAAGAAACTGAAGAACAGACATAATCCAGAAGCAGAAGACTCACCACAGCAGCTCAAACGTAACCATAGATACTGATAATCAATATGAAATCAGGTATAAGAACAAAAAGAAGCACACGAAGAATGAAGAGTCTTGTGGCTCTGTTGAGAAAAGAGGGGAAAGTTCAAAGATGGAAACAGAAGGGTTATGGGGGCGGCTCGTCTCTCAGACTCTCAGTCTCTGTCCGCCGCCAACCTAAAAATGAGTTCCCAAGCACTTTGGGGATGGGGGGCGTGTATAAGCCAGAATCACTGGTAACTCAAATTTCCCTTTTTCTTTTTCTTTCTTGTTAAACCTTCTTTGGCAAAGGGGAACCCATAGTCCCATACAAAAAAACTGAAAAAGATTGGTAGTAATTGGGGCTCACTCCGTGCTCAATCCAATCGCACAAAATAAAGTCAATAATCAATATCTTCCCAACTAAACTAAAATGTGAAAATAATATTCTCATATCCAGGGGAGTATCTGTGTACGGGCTATGGTAGGCTGAAGCCCCGGGTAATTTAGAAAATTTTCAATTTTTTAGTGTAATTTTTGTCATTTTTCACATTTAGTCCACCCCTCTAATATTTAAGCCCAGTATAATTCTTACTCAGCCCAGGGCATCTCAGATTCCTGGATCCGCCCCTACTCATATCTTATTGAATATGGTCAATTTTGACGTTGACGCCGAATGCAATGGAAGTTAAGGGAATAACGGGGAGGCCGAGGAGGCATTCCACGCTCGTAGAATTCTAAATCGTCCCCGGAGAAGCATCCATCATCCGCTTGGTCATCAAGACGAACGGATGTGGAGGCCGAGCTACCCTAGGTACTTTGGACGAGGTCCATTGTTTCAAGCTTTGAGGAAGCATAGGGCCCCGAGTTACCAGACATAGTAAGGAATAAAGAGAAGTCGGGCTAGAGACTTACTAAGCACGGATTAAGTTTAGAGAGAGAAAGAGAACCGATAGAGTGACGACAGGAATGGAGAAGAATGGTTGATTCTTTAAAAGTCAGGGTACTTATAAGCAACGCCACTTGGACAACCTAACCAGAAGCAAACACGTGGTAACCCGTGAAAGGTGGTCCCCGCGGTTGATTAGGGTGTTTCGAAACCCGTGTCAAATGGGGGGCCACAGTGGGAATTATTCCCAAACCACACAACGAACGGTTTTCCTGACTTGAGCTAGGGATGAGGTCGATATCAAGGCCTAACAACGGACGTCTTTTCGGACATGCTTATAAGTACCCTGACTTGGACCACTACGAAGCCGGGCAAATGGTGCATGGGGTGACGAAGTCGACGATCGTCGTATACACTGGGAGGGTAAAACCACTGGCTGATCATTCGCCTATCAGCATTGAGCAAATGCTGACGCTGACGTCGGATGCATGAAAAATTGAGAGAGTATCGGGGAGGCCGAGGTGGCATTCCCTGTTCATAAAACTCTAGATCGTCGCCGGAGGTACACCCGTCATCCCACCGATCTTCGGTGGAGGACAAGCTACCTCGAGCACTTGGGTTTATGGATTGGGATTCTAGTCTAGAAGAAGACATGACGACGCAAGATACCTAAGAGTCCTTGGGAATTGGCGCGGTGCGGGAAAAAGCTAGAGAGAGAAAGCAATTACGCAGCGTAAGACTAAAGAAGGTGCGAGTGAGCAATCTGCGTGGTTTTGGGTACTTATAAGCAACACCGCAGAATCTCTCCAATCACAGTCAGACACGTGGCGGGTCTCTGCCGGTATATACCGTGGTATTTTGGCGCTTCGATTCCCGTGCCACCTAACCATCACCAAGAGTCACGTGGAAAATCATGGGCGAGGCCTCCGCATCGGTACAAAGGGATGTGCGTTCTACCTCCACCGAAGATGGCAGGAGGCACCCAGTACAAACGTTACCATCTACTTGGTCACGATGGAGCATTAAACCAAAACCACCCCAAGACGAACATCGCGGCCACAACCGCAGGTCGAACCTTGATTATAGTCGACGGACGTCCGAGCCTGAGTACTTAACAAAGAACACGAAATGAAGTGGTCACATGCCGATATAATGAGACAGACACACGTCACCGTGAGGTGCACTTATCAACACATCCATGGTCGGCCTCAAGCACTTCGTAGTGGAATGCAAAGGAAGCTCTAGGGCGCACGACGGACGAACGTTGCCAGGATGCTCACCAGTCGAGGGCGGCTACGAACGAATTTGAGTACTTAAGCAAAAAAAGTGCAAACGGGAATGAAACGTATATCGCTAAATAAAGGGAAACGAGCGTAGAGACCATCATTGAGTAAAAAGATGACTTTCATTCTTGAGCACTGCCGGTTGGAAGTTACAATCAGATCCAGGATGGAAAATAAGTTAAATTAACAAAAATTCGGGGATATAGGTCGAGACCCCCCGGATGACGTCTTCACGATGTCTAGAGTGGGGGTCGGCGGATCGGGTATCTCCCCTCTGGCCTCGGCTTCAGCCCATCTACGATCCCTCTCCAGTTTTCCACAGGCCCGGATCAGCTCTTCGTCCTGTGTGTGAGCAACCAACTGAAAATCAGGTCCTTACAGCGCTGCAAAGACCGGCAGGGTAGCATTCACCCCCTCCCTATAGCCCTTGACGAAGGAGTCATCTGCCAGGTCCAGGAGGAACTGGTCGGCGAGGGGGTTCTTCTCGAGGACCTGGACCCCATAGTTCAGGCGATCGTTGGGTTTCTGGCCCTGCAGAATGGCACCAAAGACGTCTCCAAATGCCCCCTGGCAGTACGTCTGATCAGAGATCATGAAACCCCCTGTCTTCTCATACTCGGACGTATCCACACGCCATTTAGGGGCGTCAGGCTGAAAATCAAGGGGAGGGGAAGCAGCATCAACGGCGGCACCAGCTGCCGAACCGACCTCAAGAGCCGGAGGGGCGGGGACGAGCTTAAAACTGCCCTTCTAAAAAACGGCGGCCTGGTCAAGGGCTGCATCAAGAGCGGCCTGCAGTTTCTTCCCATTATCCGCAGCTTCTGCAGCGGCCTTTTCGTGGAGACGTGCGCCCTCCAGAGCCTTCTTCAAGGCCGCATCCGCCTTATTCTTCGCATGCAGGGAGTCCGTGTCCCTGGCGGCTTCAGTCTGAAGCGTGCTCAAGCCGGCCTACAGTATGCAAAAGGTATGAGCAACCACGAACGTCTTCCAGAAGTTGGGGAAGGTCAAATAAAGAAAACGAAAGATGCAAGGGATACTTGAAGAGCGGCTGACAGAATGGCGTTAGTAGCCTGAGAGGAGGACCGGGATGGCAATTGAATCCCGGACTAAAGGCAATCTCCCTCCAGATGTCTGTCACCGAACGACCAGGGGCGGCAGGACGATGTCTTCAAGAGGAGGGCCGGCAGAGTCAGCATTGCATGATGTCGTTTCCGGCTTTTCTCCTTGATTTTGCCCCCGTTCTTGGGGGGCCACAGTAAGAGGTGCCGCGAGCTGAGCGTCGCTCGTTTGGGTAACCGGGGGCTCAGAGCTTTGGGCCATCACCACCTGGATGAGCTGATGCTCTACCTCAGCGGTGCGTTTGTCGACCTGAGAGGCAGAGGAATTGGCCTCTGAAGATATGGCAGCCTTAGCCCTCGCCAGGGCAGCATCAACAACAGCACCCTTGGCCTTCCTGTTCCACAGAAGTTTCTCGTTATTCATTTGCGCTTCAGTAGGGGGAGGACCTGAAACAAAAACATAAGAGGTTAGCACCAGGCGGCGTGAACCATTAAGGTACTCACCTCGGAGGACGGGACCGCCCGGATCCCGAAGACAAACGTAAGGGGATAGGAGACCCAGAGATACAAGCGGTACCTATTCCTACCTCGACGAGTTTCTCAAAAGTGAGGAGGTCTTCCACATCCTGAACCCCGTCCGCCCTCATCTTCTTGACTTGCTCTTCCAGCTCGTCTGACAATCTCGAAGAGTTGATCTTGGGGGATACATATTCCAGCGGAGCGGTAGACGTGCGTCCTCATAGCGGAGGAAGAAATACTTGTTCTTCCACTCATGAATGGAGGTCGGCGCCCCCTTGAAAAGTTTCCGCTTGGGACGTGCGGCTATGCTCAGAAACCCATCAGAGTTCTGGGGGGTGAGCCGAAAGAAATAGTGGAATAATTCTAGGGTCACAGTCACTCCTGTGGCCTTACAGTGAACGAGGAACGACGGAATGAAGCGATAAGAGTTGGGCATGAACTGTGCGGGGGCCACTTGGAAACAGCGAAAGAACTTGAGGTAGGATGGATGGAGTGGAAACCGCAGCCCGGCCCTGATAGAGTCAAAGTGCATCATGACCATCCCCGGGCGTCTCCTCACCACGTGGGTCGCACCTCGGAGGCTGTAGACGTACGGGGGGGGGGGGGGGGGGTAGATCTTGAGCTCCTTGAGGGCTTGATCCGAGAAAAATTGTGTGTGCCCAAGCGCGTTCTTGATAGAGTAGATGTGACGTTCCACGTCGACTGTAAGGCCCAGATCAAACACCTCTACATCAGATCCGTCCCTGGCTTCATTCCCTGAATCATAGCGTTCGTCGCTACGTGTTCGGCCGTCTGAACTGCCTCTTCTTGGGCTATAATTCCCCTATCATCCCCAGAATTATTGACGTCGTCCTGGGCCGCGCTGGTCGAAGTAGCGCTTATCACCGTATCGCCGCCAGGGGTGGGGCCATCAGGGGCACCATCATTGGCAACCGTCCCCACAACGGATGGGGAGCCGGAGCTGCCGGAGGTGCTAGCGCCATCCGAGGAACGGGAGTTGGAGCCGGAACCGGAAGAAGAGTTGGAATCAGAACCCGAAGAGGAGCCCGAACTAGATCTCGACGAAATCTCCATTGAAGTCGCCATTGCAAACCTAGAGAGAATTAGAGGAAGGAAAAATAAGACCAAGTTACCTTGGAAACAACAGAGACGAGCCGGGAACCTTGTCGACGAGTTGATTGCAGTGCGACGGAGATTCTAGAGCGAGAAGCGAAAGTTGGAAACCCTAATCCCATCAAAGGATCCGATATTTATAGTGGGAAGCACCGTTTTGCGAAACCAGTAAAACAGCGACACGTGGCGAGGAGCGTATCACCGAATACGTGTCACACGGAGAGGAACAGGCATAATGATAACCTTCCTCGAAAGCTGTACCGTTTCCGCGGAAGCCGTCACCTAGAGCTCCGTGATGCGCCGCCAACGGATAACACCAGAGTAAGGTGGTCCTCCTCCTCCAGATCGGTGGAAGCAACCTCCCGCGTCAGGAACGTCCCCAATCAAAACAACTTATACTTCCTTATGTCCCACGAATGCTTGGAACATCAGAAGTGGGGGACTTGCGTTGGGCTAATGGCCCAATTAGGTGATCAGCCCATTAACCCTTATTCGGACG